TCCCAATGTCACCAAAACAAAGTAAGTATGAGAAACCGGCAAAAGAACCCTAAGGAGAAAGAACAGCTAAATATGATCTGGGAGCCTGGATGGGAACCCAGAACATAAAATGGACATTAAGTGAAAAAGAGGACCTTTGATTAATTATGGATATTGGTGAATGATAATGTGTAATATTGGTCCATTAATTGTGATAGTATCCCAACCAATGTAATGGTTTGATCAGAGGGACATTGTGTGTTGAGTATATATTAACTCTCCGTGCTTCTAACTATTTTGTGATTCCAAAACCATTCTTTAAAAAAAAAGTTTACTTTTTAAAATTTGCTGTTGAACTTAATATGACAAATATTGTCAACACTGTTGATGCCCCATGTCTGAATCACTTTTTTACCCTGGTAAAGTTTATTATTATTTTCAATTTTCTTTTTGCTATTCCCAAATTTTTCCTTATTAGTGTTTTTCTATAAATTTGCATTTGTAAATATCTTATTCAGTGTTTCTTGCTTTCATACTTAGATAATTCTATGTTTATATCTATATGTCTCATCAAATTATAATAAACTTCCAGACAAATAAAGAATGTGATATATCCTACAAAATATGTTCCATGCTTTCTTCACAAAGGCCAAGGTCATGCAAAATGAGTGAAGCCTGGGAAAGTGTTGCAGATTGGACAGGACCTAATGTGACTGGTAGATTCCAAGATGGTGGGCAATGTTCCTCCCATCTTTGTGCACACATCTTATATTCTAGCCCTTTCTCTGTGTGAGTAGTCAGACACTCTGGTTGCTTTGATAGACTATTACAAGGTGATGGGATGTCATTTGAGGGATTATGCTGCATATAACTGTGATTTCTGTCTTGCTGCAAACTCTCTGCCTTAGTGGTTTTGATAAAGCCTTCTGCCACGAGGGAGACGCCAGCATGCGTAGAAATTGAGTGAAGTCTGAGTCTAACAGTGAGCAAGGAACTGAGGCCCTTCATCCAACTGCCTGGCCTAGACTTTGCAATTTACAATTACAACTAATCCAAGTCTCCTTTTAAATAACAGTATATCACGTTTGAGGTAATGTGACTACCTTATAATAACAAAATAATGATGATTATTTCCTCTTGCTTCTTGCATCTTTTCTGTCATTCATTCCACAAATACAGCACACATTACCCATATTCATGTATCTCCAACTTGCAAGCAACCTACCCTGGGACTTCTTAACCTCTGTAATCATGTGAGCCAATCCCCTAACAAGTCTTCTTTTCTCTCTATATATATTCTTCTCTATCCATCTATCTATATTGTATTCATTCTATCGCTCTAGAAAACCATGGTTAATATATTAATAAATGCTTCAGCTCACTGGTTGCTCATTCTGCTGCTCTCTTTGCCCCACCTGCTGGATGTGAATGTGTGTAGGACAGCTCTACACTTCTCAGTGGCTCGCTGAAGAATGCTGCTCTCTTCTTGCTGGGATCTGTGAATAATGAACTGCTTCTGTTATTTCATGAATTTTGTTGAGTTGCCTTCTCTGTGTCTTTCCTGACCAACATACCTGAACCTAACTTTCCCATTCAGAGTTATCCTAGAAGTGGTTCTCTTGGTAGGAATAAACTGGATATATGTCAGACAAAAGCCACAAGGGCATCTGGTAATAAAAAAAATATGTGAGAAGGAAACCTGGTCACAAGTCAAATACTGAGGCATTAGGCCATTGCCAGTACAGAGAAATACACCATGGAAAGAACTTTGTAAATATCCTGGGGAGAAATCCCTGAAGGTCCATTGGACAGGGCTGTTTTGTAATCGCTGGCAGAGAGGGATGTCAAAAGCATACAGTCAAGAGTCATATGAAAGTGTGCACTGGAGTGGTAGCTCTCTAAAGACACAGAAATCTGTTATCTTGATAATCCCTGCCCTAATGGTCCCTAGTGAATTCCATTCTCCTGCCTCAGCTTCCCAAGTAGTTGGGACTACAGGCACATACCACCATGTCCAGCTAATATTTGTATTTTTAGTAGAGACAGGTTTTCACCACGTTGGCCAGGATGGTCTTGATCTCCTGACCTTGTGATCCAGCCACATTGGCCTCCCAAAGTGCTGGGATTACAGGTGTAAGCCATTGTGCCTGGCCAATCCAGAACATTTTAATATTGCCTTTCCTTCTTAATCATTCTTCTTTTTAATCGTTTGGGTAATTACCATACAAATCACTTTATGATTAGTCACTGCAGATGGAGATGCATCTAGGTTTTATAAAATGTTTTGCTGGCCGGGCGCGGTGGCTCATGCTTGTAATCCCAGCACTTTGGGAGGCCGAGGCGGGTGGATCATGAGGTCAACAGATCGAGACCATCCTGGTCAACGTGGTGAAACCCTGTCTCTACTAAAAATACAAAAAATTAGCTGGGCATGGTGGTGTGTGCCTGTAATCCCAGCTGCTCAGGAGGCTGAGGCAGGAGAATTGCCTGAACCCAGGAGGCGGAGGTTGCGGTGAGCCGCGATCGCGCCATTGCACTCCAGCCTGGGTAACAAGAGCGAAACTCCGTCTCAAAAAAAAAAAAAAAAGTTTTGCTCTGCTCAGTTGTTTCTTTGGTCAAGTATATTTTGAAGTACTTGGAAGAAAAATTAATGGGCTTTGGTGTTCCCCAAAGAACACAGTGAATAAAGAAACTCATCTAATTTATAATTTGAAATGTTGAGAGGATTTCTACCCAGAATTTCAGATTCCAGGGACACTAACTTAAGGTAACAGTAAGTCTTTGCTTTGCCCTTTCCAGGTAGTAGCCTAGGCAGGCAGGCAGATAGATACAAGTCCTGATCTAAAGCATATGAGCAGTGTCTCCGCTGAACTCCATCCCATTTTCAGGATGCAGTGTGGAGATAGGGGAGTGAGTTCTTGCCTCATGATGTGGTCTAAGACTATGGGATGTTTGCTGTAAGTCTTTCAGAGCACTCTGGTGACCAGGCCAACCTGTCTAAAATCTCCTCATAGGTAGTTTAGGTAGTTTGCCAGGTTTTGGGAAATCTTATCTCCCATGCTATCAGAGAGTGTGCTTGGGGAAGCACTGCTCGGCACTGTGACTAATATCCTGTGACATCATGTCACACAGTTTTGAGTCTGTCACCTGCTACCTCTCAACCAGAGGACTCAGAGTTCACTGATCTTCAATTTGCACTATGAAAAAGGACCCTCCTTGTCTACATCCACTTCTGTCTCCAACATGGCCTGAAACTCTACCTCATTTCCCCTGAATATTTGGGTGAAGAATGCTATTTGTGAGTACATCATGATAACTACAATTTATGCATTGAAACGAAATGAAAAAAGGTTTAATAAGTAACTTAGCATATAATCACTCTTGTTATAATGAATTGATCTGAATAACCTGTTATTTTTAAATAACAAATTTATATTAGACCACCCTTTTTCATGGAGTACAATGTGATCTTCAAGGGATGAGTCTCTTGAATTACAAATGCCCAGAATAACAGCAACTAATTTCTGCTATCCTAATCTCAAAGATAAGAAATGTGGCCAGGTCAGTTGCATCTCTCACTCCAGGTCTCTAGGCTGCAGGAACTAGTTTCCTCATGGAAGCACTGAAGCCATGCATGTAAACAGAGGATATACCCCACCACTATGGACCATAAAAGCGAGAGTCTTAACTTTGTGGATGTCTATTGTATGCTTATAGGCTGGGTTGTTTATAGGCTGGGTTCCTATAAACAACCATGCTGTTAACTGGCAGAGTGCTGTGTCTTGTGCAGGGAGCTGGGTGGCATGTTAAGTGGACAGTCCTCTCTGTTGTGGGATTCCTTGTTTATCCAACATACACGGAGAGTCATCATTCAGCCTCTGTCCAATTTTCTTATCTTAGCAAGGTGGGTTATAGAGATGTTATATCATGTTGTTACTTTGCTGTTTTTAGCAGGTACTCTCTAGCTCTGTTCTTCACATTCCAAATCAAATATATGCCTTTACCTTTAAAAATCTGCTTACTAAAATTCCATTTCTAGGTCTGTGTAAGCAAGGGCTGGCCTAAATATATATGTTGATAAACTTTTTTTTTGTACCACACTAACCTGGTATCATGAAGGTAACTATTCTGTGGCTTTGGGGCTTAATAATTGATAATACAATTTCGAGGTAATTGTCCACAGAATATAAGGTACCAAAGAATTCATGATGGTGTCTGGGCAATGAGTATGACTTAGTTACCCGTGAGATTTTCAAAACCTTGAAGGAATGTATGTCTTTTCAAAATGTGGAAAGTGAAACTCTGTATGCTCTATACCATTCATAAGCTCTTGAAAAGCAAAAATATGATTTATATTTCCTGGCACTGACATCTGTCAATCTTGGCTGGTAATTTTCAGAAGGCATATACTCCAAAAAAGCTTTGTTGGGGTTATCAGAAACATTGCCAAATGGTATCAAATGGGGCTTTCTGAAACAGGTGAAGCAGAAATGGGCATAAGTTTAAAGGCATGGCTACTGACAGTGAATCTGGTGACTGGGTAATGGAGTGTGTGACGGGAAGAAGAGAATTCCTGGAGCTTGATCGTGCCCTCCTGAAGCAGGTGCTCCTGCACTGAAGTTGGGGACTATAAGGGAAGCTGCTTTGCCTTTCTCTCCCCACACATTCATTCATCCTTTGAAGTTAAGGTTTTAAAAAAATGTCTGTGTTGTTTTTATAATAGCAAGATAATGATGTTTTAAAATTACATTCAATTATTTTAGATGTATTGAAAGTGGCAAAGATAATTCATACCTGAAGTATAGGCTTGTTCAGATTTTACCAGGTTTCCACTAATGTCATTTATTCCATGACCTAATCCAGGATTTCACATGACACTTACTACTAGGTTTATTCCTTATTTCTTGCTAAACAACAAATTACTTCATAGCTTTGTAGCCAAAGCAATGCACACATTACTCACAGTCTCTCTGGATCAGGAACACAATGTAGATGATGCCTAAGGCAAAGGTCTTACTTACAGGGTCATCTGTGGCAGGACCCAGGTCCAGGCTCCTGTTGGTTACTGGATGTCCAGTTCAAGGTTTCTTCATTGGTAAGTTACTTCAGGCCTTTAAGAAATAATAACAATCCTTCATAAATCTCTTGTCCAAGATACTAAAAATGACAGAAGAGATCACTGCTCAATTTATTCCATCAGGCATTTTACTCAGATCCCATAACTAGACAAACACATTTTAGGAAAGAATTATAGACTATTGTGGCTTATGATTACGGAGGGGAAAATCCTCAATAAAATAATATGAAAACAAGTCAACAACATAAAACAGGACTACAGACTAGAACTGAGGACATTTATCTCAACATCAAAAGTTTGGTAAAACACATTAAAACAATGAGTAAAATATACTATATTAATGGAATAAAGAGCAAAAACACTCCAGCAGCATCACTTCCAAAGTTACAGAAAAAGCATTTGACCAGCCTCACTACTTCTTGCTTACTTCCCAATAAATTCCTTTCCTCTCTCAATCTGAAGAGAATTTGAACTTTAAAACCAATGGGTTTTTTTTTTTGCTCTCTTTTATTCTCAGGACAGGATGTGAACTCTGACTTTTCCCTCAGCCTCTTTTCCTGCCTCACATTCTCAAATCTTTGAAAAATCATCTCATGGACCCTGCTGCTTCTGCCTCCTCTGTGATACTTTTGTCATTCTATTATAGATGGTTTCATCCTCTTAAACTAAAAAGAAAATCTTGCTCAGCATGTTTCAGGCCTGTTAATATGGCTCCTTTGATAAAAATTTCCAAATATTTATTTACTGTACTCCATGGCTGCATAATATTCCTTTATAGGTTCACGTCCTTTATTTACTGTATTTCACACATTTTAAAATGTTTCAAGTTTTATCACAGTCATTGTAAACCATGAGAAAGTACAATATGGCTTTAACTGTCTACACATAGAGGCAACATATCTTGAAATCTGCTATCACATTCTGCTAAGATCATCTGAATCAAAATAGAATGGGTGTCAATAGGAAACGTGAAGATCACAGTCAATGGTGCAGCCTTTTATTAAATGCTCCATTGCATAAGTCTTCATGCAATAGAGTGATGTTAATGTATCTATGACTCTGGGTCAAAATCTAATTCAGGAAAATCAAACATAATATCAAGATATACATGAATCAGTCTATGAATTAATATTGATATTGTTTTCATTTTATGTAAATAAAACTTATGCTTTCAAAATCCCAAAAGGCTTTATAAGTATCAATAAGTTTATTATGTGTATAATAGTTAATTGACAGAGATATTACCCTTTCTTTAAAATCCTTCTTAAATCTTTGATTCATTGACATATAATGGATTCCCCACCACAAGACTTCTACAGACACTGTGCACTGGCCAATTGTGATCTTCCATTTAGTGACACCAAAAGAAAATTCATGTGTTTGTCTTTTTCTGTGTTAGACTAATTTTTTTTCTTATTCACCTTAATATTGTTAACTAGAACCATATGGACCCGAAACCGTAATGATTGAGCAATGGCAGGATAAGTGAAACAAGATGCTATCAAAAAAAACCTTGTATTGGATAGTATATTGGGATAAGACACTCAAACCATCCTTTTTATTTGCTCTTATATCACCACAGTAACAACCATCAATGCAAAAGGCTTCTGTGAATACTTGTGTGGGACTTCCTATCCACTTCCAAAAGAGCAACTAATTCTGCAGCTGATACCAACTAGATGTCCTCCAAATGAATTCCAGCACTACCTACCTGGATATAGTACATGATTCCACAGGTTGATAGGGCAGTCCATAAGACTGTCCCATGCCTTCAGACACCAGTCACAAGTCTGAGACTCATGAACTTCTGATCAACTGGCTTCAAGTTGGGGTTCCCATAACCTATTCTGTAGGTTTGATTAATTTTCTTGGGCAGCTCACAAAACTCAGAGAAACACTTATATTTAACAATTTATTATAAAGGATATAGCAAAAGATACAGATGAAGAGATTCATAGGGAATGGTAGGGGATAGCAAGCATGGAGCTCTTTGCTCCTTCTGTTTGCACCACCTTCCAGGAACCTCCATGTATTCGGTTCTCCAGAAGCTCCCTGAATCCAGTCCTCATGAATTTTTATGGAAGTTTCATGACATCAGCATTTATTACCTAGAGTAAGAGGTGGTACCACTCTGGAATGAGGGTCTTATGACTTATGAACAGAAAGGCAAGCTAAGACAAGAATTCTGCTTTGGAGAAGGTGAAAGGAATGCATGAGAAGGTCAGAGAGATTTTGTTTCCTGATGTCTGATTCTGAGCCCTAACACATCTAACATTATAATACAATGCTGTAACAAGGGCTATGGCATCAAAAGCCAGGAAATGTGAATGAAAATCAAAATATGACTTTATTTATTTATGTATATATATCACAGGTTATCACATGGAAAAACAAAAAAATGAAGAAGTATGAAACAATTGCTTCCAAGACAATGAACATGAAGCAATGAAGGACAGTGATACCTGAGAGATGTAAAACACTGATGTGAAGGTTACTATTGCCACAGGCTTTGCTTTGGGAGAGTTTCCAGGGTGTGGTGCAGTACAAATTTTGGAAGAGCCCTGAGTTGAGAAGATGGAACTGAGAGTCTAGAGAACAAGGTGGCTAAATTTCATGAAGCCATTCTCCACATTCAGTGATAAGAACAGAAAAGAATATTCTTGCCAACACTCATGCAGGCTGAGCAGTGTTGCTGTCATTACTCCACTGAGAGGTGGGTCACAGAAGTACAGGAACCATACAGAAACAATGGTATTACACAAAGAGAAGCCATTTGAATGAACTTGTTTTTCAATCCTTTCACTGTATTCCTGCCTGCAAAAAGAAGCCTTTACGTAACACAACCATCTTGTAATAAGCCCTAGGATGACAGGATATGCCAAATAATGAAGAGATGAAGTAAATGCCACGTATAAGTAAGTGTAGCTACCCTATGTGAATGGCAACCTGCTTTTCCTCAGTTATCTTGTCACTTGTATCTACTATATTATACAATAACGTAGGTAGATCTTTCTACTTATAAAAGTAGAACACAGTTATCAACACAAGAATGAGAAACCAATAAAGACATTCACCTCTATTTGCTTCCATAAACACCCTCAGTTCCTTTAAACTTGGCAAGTGATTTGTTTCTCCTCTTCTCTACATAAATGTCACAGTCTAAATAGTTGGCATGGAAGATAGGATTACTCTTTGCATGCAGAGAAATTAAGGTAAACAGTGCCAGGTTCTAATTCAGTAAATGAGAAGATTTTTTTAAACCTACAGTTGGCATTGACATTCTCTATGTACAGTACTAAAGACCAAAGACCCTGGCTCTAGCTATACCTGGCAAAACCAATGCTCACCTATTAATTTGACATAAGTAACCATAAATATAATGGTTTTGCACTGTGGTTGTATGAAAAAAAAATTTCGTGGGCCCCTTCAAGCTGGGAACTGCTCATGGCAAATATGCCTCCCATTCTATTCAGTCATTCCTGTGCTCAGAGATAGATGCATATTCCAATGGCCTCATTTGGAAAGATTTATGAGAAACTCAAAAGAATGCAAACATGTGTCTCTCACCAACCTGTGACCTAGAAGCCCCTGATGGGAGTGGGGTGGGGCTTGCTTTGCATTGTCCCCACCTTTCTGGATGGAACCAATGTACTTCTTACATATATTGATTGATGTCTCATGTCTCCCTAAAATGTATAAAATTAAGCTGTGCCCCAATCACCTTGGGCACATGTTGTCAGAACTTCTGAGGTTATGTCATGGGAGTGTCCTCAACCTTGACAAAATAAAGTTTCTAAATTAACTGAGACCTGTCTCAGATTTTCTGGGTTCACATTTTGGTATCCACAGAGCGATTCTGAGTGGAGATGCCATGATCTTTGACTAATCTCCTATCAGTGCTCAGTGATCACACTGTTGGGTTTTTTGGTCGTCGTTTGTTCCCATGTGAAGCTGTGTTTAAGGACCCTAATTCTAGTTTGGATATGCATTCTAAAGGGTCTTCTCTATTGCGTTTCCTCCCAAATTTAATCTTAGTTTGGGCTGTGTGCAATTTTGTGAAGAACTAAATTGTTGTTTTCAAATGTTAATGAGAGACTGAGTTTTCTCAGCTCCAAAGAAAAAGGGTATTTTTCCTCCTCCCAGCTGCAAGGTGCCCCTAGGTAAGTGAGGGCCTCATAGGAGTGTCTGGGGGGGGGTACCCCCTTTCACATGCTCTGAAGCTGCCCTGCAGGAAAATCCCCATCAAAACTTAATTTTAACAACAGCTTGTCCAGGAAACACATCTAATGGCTGATCATCCAGTGTTTTGGGCCCTCTCTGATGTCATAGACCTCAGGAGAGAGAAATTGAGACATGTAAAAGGCTAGGAACAACATCAGTGGTGACACACTGTGGAGTACTACCCACAAACAGCACATATTGATGCACCACATAAAAACCCTAGATCACAGCTGTTCCACCTTTTAAGAAAAAAAGAAGTGGGGAAAAATATAAGAGTGAGAAGAAAACAAAGAGAATGACCTCCCTTTGGGCACTCGGTAGGTTTTATGGCACCTCTACCTGCCAAAGTTTATGTAAAATGAAAATAATATGGTGTTTGTGCACATTTAGAATAAGGAAAAAGAGCCATAAGGCCAACTTGCAAACTAGAGTTCTGAAGTCTTCTTTTTCTCTATTTTTTAAAACTATAGAGTACCTAAGTCCCTAAGTCATCTTATTCTCTATTTTTTCTTTTCTGCCTGCTCTAACTTAGCTGTTATTTTTCTATTAAGAAAAAAACCACTGTTTCAATCCAACAAGTTCTTTTTACAAGCCAGTAAATTTGTATTTATCTCACGGCCAGTAGTTCTGAAGTAAAAGCTATAGGATTTGTGTGTTTGTGTGTGCATGTTTATGCATGTGTATGTATTTGAAAGACCTTTATAATTTCTACAATCCAAACTTTTTCTCTCCACAATGTATAACGTAAATCTTCCTATTTGACTTTCACCTGAGTTGCTTCCTTAAATATGAAAATTTAAGGCTATTTTGCTA